ATCTCTAGCATATTGGGGGAAATCAGTGCCGATGTTGTCACCTGCCATTGACTACATAAATTCCTGGTCAGGAAGTGGCTTTTCATAGCTTGTTTGGAAACAAATACTGGGACAGGTGGTAAACTTACCATTGGTGTAAGACTGATAATTGCTGCAGTAAAAGAAAGTTGAAAACAAATATGGAACAGAGAAACTAATTTGTTTTCAGGTTCATAAATTTGCACTTGCAGCTCCTATCTCTCCCAGAATGGAGGACCAAGCTGTATTGAGTGGGACCTTCGTGGGCTGGAGGATTGACTGCAACATCATAGCAGTTGGCAAAGACAAATGCACAGTCCTGCGATGAGGGTGGATTAACCCTATGCACTGATACAGGCTGGGGATGAACTGGGTAGACAGCAATTCTACAGAATAGGTCTGGGAGCCTGGGAGATATCAAGTTGAACAGTAGTCTTGTGATGTGACAGACTAGTCACAGTGCTGCCCTGTGTTAGGAGGGGCAGAGAGGGAAGAAATATAAACTAAAGAGAATCTGATAGCAACATAAATAGCAAGGACATGTAGATGCAATGTTTCTACTTCCAGGACAGCTGATGATTTTTTATTCAATGAATCTTTAAGATAGAATGCTTAAATTTTGATCAGTGTAGGCATGACAATTGAGGTCTTATCCCCCTTGAGAAAAATGCCTTGTTGGAGTCAAACAGTGCAGTTTTCGGTGTCTAGGGATGGTCACATCCTCAGCCTGCCATAGACTCTCTTTGTTTATCAAAGTGTTTATAATTTCTTAAGAGTGAGAAGCTTCAGAGATTTCACACTCATAGACTACCTCCTAGATAAAAAGTACAAACTTCATTTTCAGAAAAGTGGTCTGTGAAAAAAACCCAGGGAGTTTGAAGCCGTGGCTTAAAAATCACTTCAACAGTCTCAAAAAGAGTGGTTTAGGTGTTTGACAAAACAAGTATGGGTCTGAGTTGTTGGCAGAGTAAGGCATCAAAGATATATCTCCTTTAATCACTATCCTGTAGGCAGCAAAATAGCCAAATAGAAGGCATTAGGTCAGTTGAAGGTGAGACCTAGAAGGGCCACAACCTACGCATTGTTAAGGAACTTGTTTGACCCTATGGGGGACCCAAAGGGATCATGAGAAAAGATTGTGTTTGGGATGTATGTGTTAGGAGGTTGAATGGGGAATGCAGAGCAATGGAAATATGACATTCGTCGAGATCGCAATTATCAGAAACGGTCACATACAGAACCCATCAGTCCTGGTGTTGAGTGTAGCAACCATAGCTCCACTGTTTCTAGGCCAAAAGGCATCAATAGACCTAAGTTCTGAGCAGCATCATTCAAAAAGGCAGGTGTAGTGCATTATCCGTGGTGCAGGAATAAAGCAAGACACAGAGTATTTCTGTTTGTGCCTGTTAGCCAATACTATCAGGTATAAATTTGTGCAGTCATACATCAGGCTTTTTTAGCTGTGATTGAAATTATCTGTGATTGAAATAAAAATTGGGTGTTGCCTAACAGCCCAGGGGAGCAATGCATGTCATATAGGAATGCGGCAAAGCAAGACCATCCTTGTAATGCTAATGGTTCATATGTGATTTTTCTGGTTGTTATGATTCTACTTCACTTCCTAAATTTGCCTCTGCGGATATGCCCGCTGATGCAAAACACAAAAATGAACAGAAATGTTGTTGCGTCACTTCAGAACACAAGATTTGATGAGCCATTTTTCTGCTATGTCTCTATATTTAGAAGCAGTTTATTTTTTGAGCTCTGGTTACAGTGATCCATTTTCAACTGGGCATGAAACACTGATGAGACATAGACTAATGAGTTTCCACATACTATCCTGAAGCTTCATGTTAATTTGTTTCACAGGCAAAATTTCTGGATATTTTTTTCCGTTTTACAGGGTGCCTCAAAAGAGATTCCCATCCTGTGTTGTTACTAAATATAATTTGAAAACTCTTCTTGGTCACTTACTGCATACCAGCTGCAGTTAGTTAGCATTATTTTTAAAATTCATTTTATCTGATCTGGCATAGGCCAGAGAAATACTTTACTTCATGTTTTGAAAATTAATTTTTTAAAATTTTGTTTCTTGTGGAGTATCCTAAAGGCGTATCTGCCTGCAGTATCTTGTTTCAGGAGCCTTAAAAAAGCACATTACTGGTCGCATATCCAAGTGACATAGTGAAAATAGACTCTTAGCTGTTGTCTTTTAATGTAATATTTATGATTTCTTAGCCTACAAATGGTATTTAGTACTACTGGTTATAACAAAGAAAGAAAAGGCACTGCCACCCTCCTAGAAGCCAAACCCTCTAATCTGATTAAGTTTGCTTCTTACCGAAGACTTGAATAAAAAAGAAAAATAATCTGGAGAAAATACCCTCCTCTTGAAGAGGAGAGTATCACAACAATGTAGTCCTGCACGAATAAGACTATCTTTTTTTCTTGTTTGCCCTGCCAAAGTTCTTCTAGATCTGTACTTGTAATTTTGGTGCTGTAAATCAGAGCAGGCCACTCTGCTGCTTCCTCTGATGAGACCCTTCTGCCTTCAGATGGTACTGCTCAGCATCACATTTTACCCCCCTGTCACAGGCAGGTCCCACAGTTGTGCAATTGTCTTCTCTTCTGCTGAGGTCTTTTAAAGTCTCCATCCTCTAGCTGCATCTAGGCTTCCAAGTTTTCTCTGTTAACAAATGCCTCAACTTTTTATGAGGAAATGAAATGGTCCAATTATTTTTTTCAGTAGAGGCATGAACTTCATCCTTCTTTTCAGGACTGTGAGTTGCACTCACATTTTAGAGCACTGTTTGGCAACAGAAATGCAATACAGAATACAACAGTCTGAGGATTGACCACACTGTCCTTTAGACATATGACAGTAAACTCCTTCTCCCACCTAAACGTGACAGAATTTCAGAGAGATAAGTGCACTTGTCATATTTTGAGAATCATGAGATCTCACATGAAATTGTTAACATCTGTTGCTCCCACTCCTCCACTCATTTTAGGGCCACAGTTAAAAACAGTAGGGGTAAATTGACCCCATACAATCTAGTGTAGTATGCCTAGGTGTAGCACGTGTTCCTATTTTTTCTTGGATGAAAAATAATACCAATTTAAATAGACTTGAAACAAAGGTTGTGAAGAAAACAGTGGTGCCTCAAAAATATTGAAACCATGCGGTTTTAGTCAGAATCAGAAGGCTTAAACTATGACAAGTAAGAGTACAACTCAGCTTTGGATGAGGTATTTGGAAATCACTGGAAATTCTGAAATTTTAAAACATGTTTCCATTCAGTATCAGGTTAAGCACCACAGTAATGTCTTAATTCCTCAGTCAGAGGAGTTATGCAAATGAACTTCAGAAAAATGAGAGGAATAGGCTGCACCATGAATTCTCATATCCCTATACTGTCTACAGAACTGCAATTACAGGGACATGCTAAAATGGTGCAAAAGTGGGAGAGTCCTAAAAAGGAAGAATAAGTTGCCTGTCTATCTCAAAGGAGATAGAGGAAAATAATGAAATAAAATTTTCTTATTTGCTACAAGGATTGTGGTAGAAAGGAAAAAAGGAATAATACATATTTCTATATTATCATTAATAAAGTAACATTTGAATGAAAAACTTACCCTGCTACAGGATATGCATCTTCACTTTTAGAAGGTTTTTATGGATTATCCAGATGTTAGTATGTGTACGGGTGCATGTTAAGTATTTCCAGTTTATTTTAGGGGACACTTTAAATTGTCTTAATATCTCCCTTTAAATGGAGATTATTAGAGAACCTTTCTTAGGGCACCACAGCAGTTCTGCTAACACTCAAACATTGAAAAGCACTCTTCCTTAATTTTGTGTGCAACAGGACATTCCTTATGAACACCACCTATCGAATTGTCTCCTGTCATTTCAGCAGAATCCAAATTAATCATTCTAATCTTAAATTACAAGATATGTTTAATCTAGAATCATACTGGAGAGCAGAAATTAAAAGAGATATGCATTAGAATGAAAGAGATCTAGCATTTTTTTTCTTGAGAAGATATAAACTCTGCATTCTTAGCCTTTGCTAGGTGTTTTTCAAGGATTATTATGCTTGTGAGTGTCCAGTTACTGATCTAAGTTTAGACAATTAAAAATAACCCCCCTATATTATTGTTAATCCCCCCTATTTAAAATAATCCCACAGATGATCTGCTGAACACCTCAGCTCTACAAAGGCTTCAATTCAGATTCATAGAATTGCTATGTTTGGCTTAAAGATCATCTAGTTCCAACACCCTTGCTGTGGGTAGAGGCACCTTTCACTAGACCAGGTTGCTCAGAGCTTCATCCAACCTGCCCTTCAACACTGCCAGGGATGGGGCAATCTCTGGGCAACCTGTCCCAGTGCCTCACCACTCTCACAGTAAAGAATTTCTTCCTAGTATCTAGTATAAACCTACTCTCTTTCAGTTTGAAGTCTTTCCCCACTGTTCTGTCAGTGCATGCATGTCTAGTTTGTCCACCTGGCCATGGCACACTAAGCACGGTTTCAGCTTGTTCACAATGCCCCTTGCTGTATGAACTAGGGCAGGAACAGCTGGCTTGGCAACTCTGTGTCCCTTTTTCCTGACTATTAGACTATTTCCAGGCTATTAGTGCACAGCATATGGACCTTTGGATTTCGGCAGTGCTTCAGATATCACAGTGTATATGCGGCCATGGTACCTGCTGTAAAAATAAAACACCTGACTGAGCTGCTTCTGAATTATTTCAACCACGTATTTTCTTAGGGTAACAGAAATAGTTTGGTCAGTCTTCAGGTAGTTTTCTTTTGTTTTGGTTTGTTTTTGTTTAAGACTGCATTATCCTGCACAATGCATGTTTTAATCAGCTTCTGAGTTCAGTGAGTACATTTTAAAAATACCCCAGATCTCCAAAATAACAGTACATGTTAAATGTCTCTCCAGTTTTAATCACTATTATGCTTTCCCACCTGTATTGTAATGCTTGGTGCAGTAACATAAATCCTTTTCTTCTTTCAACAGAAACTGTGGCAGAGTGAGACCTTCTGCTACTTGAACTGCTCCCTTTTCTTGCCATTCAAAAATGAGATCATTCATTGTATATCCAACTAAGAAAAAAAGAAAAAAGCAAACAAACTCTAAGTCAGCTGCAAACTTTGAAAAGCAAGAACATACCAAACTATAATGTTTTAAGTAAATGTCATAAGAAGGAGATAATACAGAGGTTCTGCTTTTACCTGTTAATCACAAAGTATTATCTGCCATTCTATACTGAACTGAACTAGTAAAAAGGATTCTGTCTTATGAAATTTTAAAAAATCTTAATAGTCAGGTGGTCTATTAATGCAATAAACAAAAGCATCAAAATTAGCTAAGCATCCAATTCTTTTGGGTGCTTGGGAGCTTTTTTACCCTCCCCAACACATGAAGGATAACATAGGCTCTTCACACTCAGATGTCTTCCTCCTTTTACTTGAGGTGAAAGTAAAAAGGATTCTGTCTTATGAAATTTTAAAAAATCTTAATAGTCAGGTGGTCTATTAATGCAATAAACAAAAGCATCAAAATTAGCTAAGCATCCAATTCTTTTGGGTGCTTGGGAGCTTTTTTACCCTCCCCAACACATGAAGGATAACATAGGCTCTTCACACTCAGATGTCTTCCTCCTTTTACTTGAGGTGAAATGGTGGATTGTCAAAGCTATATTTATGGATTTATGTCAATTTGAATTGTTAGGTTCAAATTCTTCAACAATGAATGAAAAATTCTGCAGGAGTGAGGTATGAGTCATATTGAAAAATTGCTTTCCTCTGAAACCAGAGAAAACATGGGAAAGCAATTGATTGTAATCTCATATTAACTGACTGTGACGTATAATACTGAAAAGCATTCAATACTACTATTCAGACTCCTGCACTTATCCATACCTCATGCATGCGCATGTAAGATTAAATATAACAGCAAAAGCTGTGCTAATCAAGGGCCAGACTTTGTACAGGACAAATATTTTTCCTTCTATTTCCCTCTCTCAGATGAATATTTGCATGGGATATCATTGGGAAATGTCTCTAATTCCTCTAAATATGTGATATATTAACTTTCCATTATATCCCCGGCATTTTATTCTAATTTTTTTTATGAATAAATTTTATCTGGTTATGACAGCTGTGGAAAAAATAAAAGAATTCCTATTCTCTTTCAGGTTTCATTAGGAATTTCTCAGAATCTAATAAATATGGACAAAGTGATATTTGAAGACTGAAATTTAAAACTAGATTACTTCCACTGTTGTAATAGACTGAATGACAAGGGTACACTTGTGCTACATATACCAGAAGGAACCAGAAGGGAGCAACTTTTACATCTAAGTTATATAGCCTTCAGCTTCTTTGCAATATTTCCTTTCTGCTTCAGTCCAATGCTAACAAGCTGTAGAGAATAACCTACTGATAACTGGAAATTCTTCTAACCTTTCAGCAACAAATTACTGTTTAAAGTATATTGTGCAGAACCTATAAAAGCAACTGCCCACAAATACTGAAATTTTGATTTCTAGTGAAGAAAATAAGCTCTTTGGTGTATGGGCATAAATTTTACCCCTGTAACATTCAATAACTTCATTACTGTTTGAATGCACCTATAAATGCTATTCAGTCATACATAGTGTGGACCTGAAAGCTGAGATGCACATCTGTTCTGATCTGTGTTGAATGAACCTAGAAGCTAAGAATTAGTGTTTATAAATTTAAAAATGTTTTCAACACTTATTCCTTCTAGATTCTTGATGTTTCTTATGGGGAGTACCTTCATACAAGGTACTCACAGGCACTCATGTTGACTGTTGGTTTGCTTAGGTGTTTTGTTGGGGCTGAATGAATATGCTAAAATGAGACCATATGCTTTTAAATAAGTATTTAATTAAGATCAGACATTACTCAAGTCATTACAAGCATATATCAACTGTGCAAGGAAACATTTATTTTTCTGTCTTATTAATTGTATGATATTCCATAAACACAGTATTAAAATTCACTACTAAATGCCATAAACTAGGTAAAATCAGAAGTATAGCTCTTAGGAAACTTTTCATGAATTTATATGAAAGCAGTAAAACAGATTATGATTTGAAGCTCGTAGATTATGACCAGAAGGGATATTCCTTGAGTAAAACTCATTGAACTGACAAGCAACAACTGCTGTGTCAAAATGTATTTCACTGAATCAGATTCATTCATCTCTAATGCATGCTTTTAGTATTGATTATCTACCCTGCCCACTAATTCTTCTATAATGCAATGCAGTAAAATTAAGAGCAATGCATGCAAAATGCTGATGTAGTAATTAATTTTTATTATGTTTATATTTTAAATTCCAAAATACATCTTTAGTATTCAATACTGAAACTTCACTTTTGTAAGTCAAGGTCATAGTTATAAAGTAATTGTCTCATAAAACACAGGGAATTAATGGAAATGTGAGTTTATGTTATACAAATAAAATTTAAAATAATATAATGTTTCCACTAGATATGTTAAATTCAATCAACTTGGATTAAATTTTAATTAAATTTATGACCCTTTATTAAGTGTGAAATACATGGCCCAGTCAAATGAGTCCACAGAATTAGGGAAATCTAAAATGTTGTAATAGAATCATAGAATCATAGAATCAACTGGTTTGGAAGAGACCTCAAAGATCAGCAAGTCCAACCCTACCCTGGTTACTAGACCAAGACACTAAGTGACAAATCCAGTCTCATCTTGAAAACCACCAGGGATGGTGAATCCACCACCTCCCTGGGCAGCCCATTCCAATGCCTGATTACTACCACCGTAAAAAATCTCTTCCTAATATCTAACCTAAACGTCCCCTGGCAGAGCTTGAGTCTGTGCCCTCTTGTCCTACAGCAAGTTGCCTGGGAGAAGAGACCAACCCCCACCTGACTACATCCTCCTTTCAGGTAGTTGTAGAGGGTGATAAGGTCTCCCCTGAGCTTCCTCTTCTCCAGGCTAAACAACCCCAGCTGCCTCAGCCTCTCCTCACAGCACCTTCACCAGCCTCGTTGCTCTTCTCTGGACCTGCTCCAGCACCTCAATATCCTTCCTGAACTGATGGGGCTCAGAACTGCACACTACTCAAGGTGTGGCCTCACCAACGCTGAGTAGAGGGGCACAATCTCCTCCCTGGTCCTGTAGACCACGCTGTTCCTGATCCAGGCCAGGATGGCATTGGCCTTCTTGGCCACCTGAGCACACTGCTGGCTCATGTTCAGCTTTCTATCTATCCAAACTCCCAGGTCCCTTTCTGCCTGGCTGCTCTCCACTCACTCTGTCCCCAGCCTGGAGCTCTGCATGGGATTGTTATAGCCAAAGTGCAGGTGGCCTTGTTAAACCTCATCCCCTTGGAATCAGCCCATCTCTCCAGCCTATCCAGGTCCCTCTGCAGAGCCCTCCTGCCTTCCAGCAGATCAACACTTCCCTCCAACTTTGTGTCATCTGCAAACTTGCTGATGGTGCACTCAATCCCCTCATCCAAATCATCAACAAAGCTATTAAAGAGAACTGGGCCCAACACTGACCCCTGGGGAACACCACTAGTGAGTGGTCACCAACACTGATTTAGATGAAAAAAATACACTTAGCCATCCAGTGCTGAAAGGTGCTACACAGGAATAAAGATGAAAACAAGTAAATTACTTCACTTTCTGTATATGATTAGTAACTGATTAGTTGAGAAAAGGCAGATGAGAGAAGCGAGTAATGGTACTCTCTTTGTTCTGGTTTTATGCAGCACCAGTCAATCTAACTGATCAAGTTCATGATTAAAGCTGAGTGTTTCTGAGCCACAATTGTAATTAGAATTAATTGATCAGAATGCAGTAGAACCCAAATAGTAAAATTCAATAAGAGATATGCTTCTGTGGTCTCTCAAATTTTGCTTTGATATTCTTGAATAATGGCACCACTAGCAGAAAGGGCTAATTTATTGGATAGGTATATGCAGAAACATTTCAAATTGAGTATCTTACAGAACCATAGAATGGTTTGGCTTGGAAGGGTCTTAAGGTCTTTTTAAGAGGTCATCTAGTTCCCACTGCCATGGGCAGGGACAACTTCCACTAGGAAAGTCCCATCCAACCCAGCCTTGGACATTTTGAGGGCTGGATATCCACAACTTCCCTGGGAAACCCGTTCCAGTGCCTCACCATTCATAGTCTTAGGAACCTTAGGTATCCATTTTAGAAATGAATTTTTCTGACAATGATTGATAAATATGATTTAGTCATATTTATCATTAACCAATAAATACTGGTTCAATCCAATGCATTAAATTATCATGTAATAATCAGAAGGCATGATGATTAAAATAAGGCAAAACATCTTAAACTAGATTCTAGAAATACTAAGCCTGAAGTCCACCTTAGCTTTTTGTTCTTACTCAGCTGCTTGTTACCTGATTAATAAATGTGCATTGTCTTTAAAGCAATTAAAAAAAGATTCATTCAGTAACAGCTCTTGAATCCTGACTTCTTCTTGAGATAAGACTTGAGTGTATGGTCTTGCTTTCATTGTGTTCTGCTTTCCACAGAAAATGTGGCATGTATACCTGAAGGAAGTCCCAGTCTATGTGTCTGGAGGAAAAAACTGTGATTCTGCTTCTAAGCACACTTGCCTTTCACGGGAAACTTTTTCTACATAATGCTTATTCCTATTCTTTGTAAATTCTTGCTGTTCAGTCTTACTATATTATCTCTCTTGCTGCTGCTTTGTGAGCAGAACATATTTATCTTTGACTTACTTGCATTTGCTGCAACCCAATGTGATATTCAGCCTCTCACTAGAACATGAGTTATTTTTTGACTGTGAGGTGGTGTTAGTGACTATCATGAATTGCTACCAGATATTTTAATTACTAGTCTCTGGGAAATACAGTGTCATGTAGGAAAGTCCTAGTCGCTACATTTTTTAGGTGAAAAAACGACAGCCAGTCACTAGTCTAGGTAGTATATGAGGGTGCAGCTCACATTTTATTTGCTGGTGCAAAAGTGATCCTATTATTCTACAGAAATAGCTGAAAGGAATGGAGACTATCACCTAGCATGGTCTGC